TTTTTTTAACTCTTGACAGAAAGAGCTTCTTAAATTTTTGAATTTTGCTACAACTTCTTTTGGTCCAAAGCCAGGAATATTTAATTCATGACTTATTCTCTTAGCTGCGGCGGCTCGTAAATCTCTATCACGGTATTCCTCCAAACTTGGATCATATAACACCTTTTCCATCGAATATAACTCCAAAAAACGCGTAGTTTCACTGTCGTTAAACTTAATAATGCCACGTTGCTGTGACGACATCTTGGCTTCACGAACGGTATATCACGACTGAAAATCAAACAGGTTTGATCTATCCACGCTTGAGTCGTGCGCCGTTCCTCACGAAAGCAAGTTTAACGACTATGCGTTCACACAGAAGTGTATTTCACGAAAGCGTGGTTCACTGTCGTGATTAACGCCTCGTGGGAACGCCGCTATACTTATAACAGTCATATTTATTACATATTGTAATAATATGTTTTTTTCAATATTGAATCGTCGTTTCTCCCGTCACAGAAAAAAATTGTGTATTATACAAGGAAAAAATGTATTAGATTTTAGCTCTCGGTTTTTTCCTTTCCCTTTCCTTTTATCTCCGGTCCCCGTGAAAAAAGTGAGCACATTTTTCACGCTTCGCGTCGGGAGACAACACAACCTCGAGCTAGAATCTAATACTTTTTTCCCTTGTATAATAAATAACTATTCATCGCAATCATCATGAGTTGTCTTATTTGGATACAAAAACACATGTTTTTATCTCAATGGCCACTCGAAATAGCTACTACGAAATCGAATATATCCATATCTAAAACTTTTCGAAATGGATTAACCTACATCCTTCAACAAACAAGGTTATTTTCACCTGACGTTATCTTCTTACATCACGGGCGATAACAGATAAATTATGAATGATATTCTATCGCCACCTGATTACACAATAGTCCATTTAGCCAGATATTGATTGTTCTGGCAAGTTTATTCAGTGATGAACATTAAGCGATGAATTCACTCATTTGTCCTTTTGAAACATCTTTAGATACCATTGGTCGACTAGAAATGGACACGAGACATAGCGGAATGAATAAAACTGACTACGAGTATTGTATAACTTGTGTCAATAATTATGTCCATTCTATTGTCATGTGTNCAGAAATCTTAGCCGTACAGATGCAGAAGGCTGTCATTCTTGTCTCACTGCGTTTGCTCAGGGCACATGATTCTCGGACCCAATGATCACTTACCCCACGGTGTGGGAAGTGGTCATTGGTTGATAATGCTGGCGCGCCCTCCCGAATGTATCGGGGCTTCGGGGGATAGGGCCTGACCAGCGCACACTACGGTGAAAAAAAAATATTAATCCTACCTATAAACCACGGCTTCCTGCTGTCCACCGACCTCAGCAGCTCTTCTAGTTTATCCGTGCGTACATAGACATCATCATCAGCCCTCACGAACCACTCGTACTGATCAATATAGTGCTCGTACATATACTTCAGCATCAAAAACGACTTCTTCTGCGGGGGATAACTGTCGTCAACCCCTGCCAACGGCACCAGCGGAACGTGTTCACTATACGAAAACTCCGAACTGAAAAACATCACCTTCCCGGGCACTTCCCTCCCCCAGGTGTCGTAGACGGCCTTGGCGCGGGTGTCCAGGTACTTGGCCGCCGTCATTACCCCCACGAAGATGAGGTTCTTGTTGGAGGCGCGCGCGTCTTCCTCCTCGATCAGCCGGTAGGGGGTTATCTGGCTGGAGGCGCAAGGGGGCTCGCTGAATGTTGTCAATGTGTTGAAGTTCGACGCTACGAAGCCTATCAGGACTCCCAGGAGGAGTTTCAGGATTTTTTTGCGTCGACCCATCGTTCTTAATCAGTGCGAGCATGGTTGATGAGGAGGACCATGCTTCATCAGTCGATGTCGGCGGTTCCTCTTGCCGTCGCCATTCCAACACACCTGGAGGGTTTTTGGTAGCATCTCATGGTTTGGGTGTCTTATCTCTAGACCCAAGTGAAACGTAGACCCTGAAACGTAGAGAGAGAGAGAGTAAATGTTTATTGCCTTTTGAAAGGACAAAAATGTTGTTGGCAAACACGCACATGAAGAATAGGGACTACTAGGCAAAATTGCAAGGGAAAACCTTTTTGGTAAACATTCAAAAGCATGTCAATTTTAACAAAGCCCACACCGGTGCTCCCCTCACCCCCCTGCGATATTTCTGGAGGTTTCTCTAGGAGAAGCATTGTCTCCAACCATTGGGGTCCTAATAACAGAGTCAACCCAATTATGGGAGGGTTGACTTTGTTATTTGTTATTATTGTCATTTTCCAAAAAATGAGAAATAGAACTTTCTATGTTTTTTACCACTTTTATTTGTAACTAACGTTACTGCAGTTATGTCCTATAAGGACATTTTCAAACGAATAGAATAAACTGAAATAATTAACAATGTTAATCCTTTACAGCGTGACTCACGGTCGATGGTAGGTTTGACGTTTCTGGAAAACGCAAAGCATGATTTTTCTGAAAATTTCACCTCTCACATTTCCTTACCTGTTCTATCGATCTATCATAAATAAAAAAGCTAATTTTATTGTTCTTCAGAAAAATCATTCTTTGCGTTTTCCAGAAACGTCTAACCTACCATCGACCGTGAGTCACTTTGTATACAAACGACTTTTTCACCAGGCCAACAGAATACCCTGATAAGAATTTTTTAGAAGTGGTTATTGTACCGGTTTGAGGTTTTTGACATTATGCGGTATTTTATCTTATCTTCATTTATTTATCAAAAATGTATCGATGTGCTGGAATAACGGTGAGATAATTTACAAGCTGCCTTTTAACTGATACCACTACAGATAATTCTCAATGTTTTCTTCCCAAATATGAAATATTTGAGGAATGCAAATATTTGGGTTTTTCATACGAATGTTTGTCAAAAAACATGTGACATTATGTACTGTTAAAATCATACAATTAATAGAAAATATCTAAAGTATCGGGCAGTTCTATTCAATTAGTAATTGTTTGGTGGGCTTTTCTGATGTTTTTGGTGGTAACAGCCTCTTTGAGGCGTCCATCTCGTTTGAACTCAGCAAACCACTTATCAAAGGTTGAATTTCCTAGTGGAAAGTCCGAATAATGTTTATCAACCCAAGCCTTGGCTTCAACAGTTTTATTTCGCCAAAATGCATACTTCATTAACACATGAAATTCCTTTTTATCAATTTTCTTCAAACCAACAAAACTTGCTTCAGTCAAAATGTTCTATCCCACGAACTAATAGTCCAACAGCTGTGAAATTTGTACACCTCCCTTTTGAAAGGTATGGAGGTATGGATTCAATACTAGTATCCCACCTGATATGGATCTGGGCGGATTCAGATCTATTTATTCCAACAAGTATCTTGCGCGAGTCAGAGAAAAGTTGAAGCATTCTAGCTTCTCTGATTACACATGTGTGAAACCTCAAACTGATCACAATCAACTTGATTAAGACAAAGTACTTCGACAATAGCTTTATATAGTTCTTGGGTGTGACAACAATATCTAACCAAATATACAATGATAAACACTCTCGAATAAACTCTATTTTTAAGCCGCGTTTACACAATGCCAGTTGTCTTGGGCCAGTTGCGTGAATGTCTAAGGCCATCCCAATCGAGTGAGAACTTATTCACACGGCGAAACTATTGCCACGGCAGTTGGTGACGAAAAATTGCGGAGTCCTCATCATCTGTTGTGTCTCGTGATGAATTGAGACTCGACTGACGAAGGCAAACTGGCCCAAAACGAGATATCTACTGCCCTACCACGTTCACACAGCAGCGCCAATTATCAAGACAGCTGCCGTGATAGAGTGGAAGGGGGCGTCACTGTGTCCTCGGTCTTCTCCTGGAGACACTCGAATTTTAGGACAACTGTCAGGGTAGTTGCCACGCCAATTGGCCAGAGGTGTTTACACCAATAATTTTATATCTATCATATATCTCTGTCAATTGTCTCTTCAACTGGTACCGTGTAAACGTGGCTTTACTTCGGTATTGAAGAAAATAATCGTATTCACATTATTATTTTATCGAAGGCTATTATTGAAGAGAGTATAATGACTTCTCTTTATAATAGTTTGTCATCAACTTCTTAAATCAATTTACGAATTTATTGCTCCGCGTACTGCCGTAAAACATCATTTAGTAATTTTTAACCGTATCGGTGAGTCACCTCGACCTCAAAGGCTTTCGATTACGACAATAATAGCCTACATCCACGATAACGAGTGGAAAGCAATACGGAATAATGGTATATATCTCGAAGAAAAAAAAAACAAATGAGTTTCTCCTGAGACTAGACAGATATCTGTGAGTTGAGTTACTTCAAATTATAATTTAGCTCACAACTATTTCTGATGTGGTGTTAGAAAGTAAGTAATGACATTTTGCAAGGAAGTGAAATTTCTACGAATATGGACTTGAATCATGTAAGGGCAGTCTACTTGATTTCCTGAGCTACGAATCTGACAAAAGAAATCTCGAATGGAAAGTTGAACTGGGAAATATTTACGATTTTGAAAATAGTCGAAACAGGAGTATTCAAGAAGAATCGTTTCACCGGAGTAACAGCCTCATTCATTCTAGTCTTTTATCCTTGAATTTCGAATGATTTCACATTTCTATCCATATATATTTCTATTCGGTTTGAAATCATGAGATTGTTTTAAAAGTTTTGTCCGTTTTTTAACACGCTTTTATTAGCTTCAACTGTATGTATGTTTGTTTGTAACTCTGCTTGATCTACTCGCTGGCAGATGGCGCTGTAGGTACTCCTTGATATATCGGCATTATTGCTTGATCTATTCGCGGGCAGATGGCTAAAAATTATCGAATAGACCTAAAATCGTTCATCAACATCATATAGGTAGTAATAAGCTGAAAAGAGGCAAAAAATTAAAACCCTGTATTGAACAGATGAGGTGTTATAGACAATGTTCGAGAACACGTTTCAACGAGAACTTGTTGATTTGTGTCAGATAAAAGCAAAGAAATATCGTCCGCGATTGTTTTAAAAGTTTTGTCCGTTTTTTAACACGCTTTTATTAGCTTCACCTGTATGTATGTTCGTTTGTAACTCTGCTTGATCTACTCGCTGGCAGATGGCGCTGTACGTAACTCCTTGATATATAGACATTATTGCTTGATCTATTCGCGGGCAGATGGCTAAAAATTATCGAATAGACCTAAAATCGTGCATTAACATCATATAGGTAGTAATAAGCTGAAAAAAGGCAAAAAATTATAACCCTGTATTGAACAGATGAGGTGTTATAGACAATGTTCGAGAACACGTTTCAACGAGAACTTGTTGATTTGTCTCAGATAAAAGCAAAGAAATATCGTCCGCGTAAATTACATGATTGGTTCGTTTAATAAATTTACTGGGAGCATTGATATACAGAATAAATAATACTGGTCCTAAGATGGAACCCTGAGGTATTCCCATTGTTACCGGCAGACTTTCAGGAAATCATTTTCAATATTCAAAGTAATTGACACATTCTGTCTCCGATCATTGAAAAAAATAGGCAAGCAACACCTCAATTACTAAATTGTTCCAGTATACGTAAGAAAATAGAGAAATTAACACAGTCGAATGCCCTGCTCAAGTCACAAAATATTTCAACAGGGTTTTCTTCTGCTTCGGCACCGCACTGCTTACAGTCCTCCCTGTCTCGTCTGCCTCCCGCCATAGTATAAATCTTTATACTTACTCGCGCCGTTGTCCGGCACGGCGCCGGAACGGAGCCGGAGGCGCCGTGTGGCATACCATTTATATATGTAGGAAACCGTTGCGGCGCCGCGCGGGAGCCGCACCGTGTGGCCTAGCCCTTAAGTTTTTGAGAGCATCATTTCTGATTTAATATGATTACATATGTTGATTTTTTGTCGGATGCTCTGGAAAGGGGTTAACAAGTTGACTGTTGACTGCACTGATTTTTACAAAGCTTTCGACAAAATTACTTACATGCTCTTGATTCATAAACTTTGTTTATACGGCGCTGTTGGGCTAGTATTGCAGTGGCTCAAAAGTAATGTCATGGAAAGAACGCAAACTGTCAGGGTTGATCATTACTATTCTCGTATCATAGCAGTTACATCGGGTGTTCCACAAGGGTCACACTTGGGACCACTGTTGTTCAACCTTTTCATTAACGATCTAGTTCGCTGCTTCCACGAAAGTGAAGCTTTGCTATTCGCTGACGATTTAAAATGTTTTAAATTAATCAAAAGTGAGACCGATACATTGATTCTACAAAACTATATAGATTTCCTATCTAACTGGTGTACGCAAAATGGTGTGTGTTTGAACGCATCTTCGCTTTCATCGAACAAACCACCCAATCACTTTCGAATATAGTATAAATAATCCGACCTTACATTGTGCATTTTAAACTAAAGATCTAGGTGTAATTCTAGACTCCACACTTAGCTATAAATTACACATTTCCGCTGTAATTCAGGAATCTATGAAGATGCTTGGCTTTAGAATAGGAACCCACTTACGATTTTACTAACATCACTGATGTTATTAAATATCTTTATTTTCCCTGGTTAGATCTCATCTCGATTATTGTTCGACAGTTTGGTCCCCCTATTATAGTTACACATGAAGTGTACAACATAATTTCCTGAGATACCTATATTGCCATCAAGATGCGTGTATACTATGACTATGTTGCATTAGAACGCATATTGAACATACCTTCTCTCGAGACACGCAGAAAATATAGAGACCTAATTCTTCTATTTAAAATTATCTACGGACTGAGTGTTTCTTTTCACATATTTAATTAAGTACTTTATACAACAGCTTTATCCTCAAAAATCTTCGATTAGCTAACTCTTTGAACAACATTCAAATCTTTAATATATTATTTTTTCGCTTCAAAAGCTATATTATTGATCTAGCTATTTGATATTTTCAGCTTGGGCTATTGTATTGAGTTGAGTGTTACTTGTCTGGAAGAACTAGATTAGTTCATATTGTTATATCTTGTAATTTTTTCCTAATTGATCTTTATGTTATTCTACTATTTTCTAACTATTATATTCATAATTTATTACATCGCCTCGACTACAATATAGCAATGTTATAGGTACCTATATTTGAATTTAATATTATAAATAAAATGCGGTTGATGCCGATTCAGAAAATCTGAGCGATTTTAGAACGAACATTCAAAAGTCTTTTGTAACAAAGTTTTATCAAATCTTGGAATAGTGTTGATTATTCAAAAAACTATAAAAACCTCGAAGATAAAAATTATCGACAAACGACAGGTTAAGTTTCGAAACAGCAGACGAATATCTAAATGGTTCAAAATCACGTAGGTACCGCCTTGTACTGCTCAGATAAAAACAATTCGAACTAGATCGGTTTTTTCGATCCATTTCCCCAGTTATAAGTTCATACTGACCAGTCAATTGACCCGGGCGACTTTCATTGCTTCTTAGCTGTTTCGCTCGCACTCAAACCAATTTCTGCAAATTGAATTCAATCAAAAACAAGAACTAGTGCCCGACATTAAAACTCTTCTCTCATCCTTGACCGTAGCGAACTATCATCTAATCTAGTGCACCGCGAACCACGAGTACTACCGGCAGTACTGTCAACTGTTCCGCGCACGATCTGCACCAAACCAATAGCGCGACTGACTGACATAAGCTAGGCCAACGCTGTTGCTTATGCAAAGGACCGACTTTTCTGTTAGGCAACTTGTCGGGTGGGATTTCGAGAGGTAGGTTATTGTCATACCATTATTCGGCTACCTCTGCATTTTCGTCGCTGGACACCAGACAGTCGAGCAGAGGCGTGCGGAGGCGGATTCGCGAGGGATTAAAAGAGATTGCAAATAATTTAATACGATTGAATCAAGTAGAGGAGGAAAGTATTTCACATCAGGGACAGTGGCGTTCCTAGAGGGAAGTAAAAGTGGTAATTTCCCACAGAACTGATAATTGAGGATGTTAAATTCTCGACGTTTTCTCAAGGTTGAACACATTCGATTCTAAGTTAACTTAGTTGAATAACCGAAATAGAAAAAATGATCTGAAGATTCAGAATACCTAACTATAATTTGAGTTGAACAAATAAAAAACAAATATTTTTTTACTCAATATAAGTGAAGATACCGACTCACGCTTAAAATAAAAGAAACATTTTTCATCTTCAAAGACTAATATTCTCTAATTGATAGAAAATGGATTTTATGAAAACTGTCCTGCTACCGGCTTATTGACCCTATATTGAATTGTCCATTCTCATATAAATCATAGAATGAAATAAATTACTATATTTACTATTTGCGATACACAAGCCAATACTATGGCTTTTGTATCGCAATACTGAATATTTGCATTAAATGTCATGTACCTACCACCACAGTAGTCTTTTCTACTTCGATACCACGTGCATAAAATGTATCTATCTAAAAGGACGTCAATTTTCATTTCTGATTCTTTTCGCCATCTGTTATTGAACTATGAAACTATCTGCGAAAAAATAAATATTTCTGCTTGCAAAAGTTGTTGAACTATTAGCTAATAGATCGCTACTCGAATGTTTATTCGGACTCGAAAAATAAAAGGAAACAATTAGTTCTTTCTTGAAAAATAGCCAACGATTTGCGTGAAAACGCAATTTTGTATGAACCAGCCATAAATCAAATATCTTTGTATAGTCGTTGTAAATCTATAGACAATGCTAAAAGGACGTCAGTTTTCATTTCTGATTCTTTTCGCCATCTGTTATTGAACTATGGAACTCTCTGCGAAAAAATGAATATTTCTACTTGCAAAAGTTGTTGAACTATTAACTAATAGATGGCTACTCGAATATTCAAATCAATTCGAACTCAAGAAATAAAAGAAAACAATTAGTTCTTTCTTGAAAAATAACCAACGATTTGCGTGAAAACGCAATTTTGTATGAACCAGCCATAAATCGAATATCTTTGTATAGACTGAATGATTAGTTGCTGTAAAATTATGTTAACTTTAATAAACTTAGACTATTCAATAATAAATGGCTGCTTCAGAGAAAATTACATTTGATCAAAGATCTTTGTTATCATCAGAATATAATATTTTAAAAATAGATACATTCGAAAGTTTGCCTAAAAATCCCCATTTCTCCAGAATTTTCCTCATATTTTCCAAAACTGTATGAAAAGTAGCAGTCATATATGAATTATTAATGTTACCGATTTAAGGTAAAGATGGCACCACATAACCTATTTTAGTGAGTAGTTTTCTTGTCAATTTTTGGGGTTAAAAATCACCGTGAAAAAATATACGGTGTTAAAATTTTCTAGGCATTTAACTTGCTCTTACTAAATGTTTTATTCCGCAATAAGTAGGTGTTCCTCAGAAGGCAATGTATCAAGCTGATTCTTCAAATATATGTTTTTTTCAGGAACGATACAGAATGGAGTGTTTACATCATTGCAGAATAACCTATACAGGTCCACATTGGATTCATCTTATATTTTACAGAAAAGAAATTATGCAGCTCGAAAAGGTACCAGAGAAAGGAGAAAGAAGGCCAAAGTGAAGGTGGAGGTACAAAAAGTTGGATGGGTTCCCCATAACCAGAGAAAAAAAGAGAGGTATGTAATGTGGAAATTAAGAGTAATTTTTCAATATTCACAAGAGTGACATTTCCATCTATTTCTGTTTGAGATTATAGATAAACTAATGATAATAGACACAAATTCGTCTTCTGTTGAACTACCAGAAATAATTAGAAGACTCGATTTCGAAAAGTTTACTTCAGCTTCAAGTCCGATTTCAAAATCGTTCATATTTTGGAATTCCTCAGTAAAAATGGAGTCAAAAAGTACATAACGACAACTATAACTATAAAATTCTCACATAGAAAAGTTTTGTTAAATATAGGGAACTGTTGTACGTGTTCTGTTTGTTAAGTATGATGTTACCTATTGAAGCGGAACACCCCGAACTTTATTAATGAGTATCATAAATTCACTTTCGTCTCATACTCTGATTGTAACACATAAGGTCATCTTTATATGTTGGGCATATATATTTAACTTGTTACCTGCAAACATCAAATCAGAAACAAATTTTGAACAGACAGTGAAAAAATACCCAATTCGATACTCAAATACCGCAGACGATTATATCCAAAAGCAGGGATAGTTTTTTTATGTATGTAACAATATATTTTAACCTTTACATTTCAAACTGATAATTGGTAATGTGTTTTTGACATATTTCCTGTATAAACACAATCTAAAGAGACAAATGTATTATCTATTCACAAATCTATCTATCCATCTATTTATCTAACTTCACTAAATACATTATACATGAATGTATTTCAATTTTTCGAACTATATATTTGTACAAATTCAATGTTTTTGACATATCTCCTGTATAAACACAACCTAAAGAGACAAATATATTATCTATTCACAAATCTATCTATCCATCTATTTATCTAACTTCACTACATACATTATACATGAATGTATTTCAATTTTTCGAACTATATATTTGTACAAATTCAAACTATTTTTGACATTTGTAAGTAAGAAGGTGTATCAGTAAAGTTTTCCATTCTATATTCAATTAATTTCAGCCTTTTGAAAAATCGTCAGCAGCGTAAGTTTGATGACTCTTGGATGAGAGACCCCATTGATGACGTCTACGTGGCAAAATACTACAAGTGGACGGTGTACCCATTTGAAGAAGCGGTCAAGTGTCATCGGGAAACCCATCACCCAGAAATGTATAATAAACCCAATGCCAACCTCCACGTGTCGATAGAATTGTATATGCAAGGAGAAAAACAGGTTAGTACTTACTGTGTGATAGTACATTTTTTATTGTTATTTCTATGTAATGTTCTATATGAATATGGTAAAAAATGAATTGAAATAACACTGTACAAAGTATGATGTTTCTCGACTGATTTCCATCGCATTTTAATGGAGAAATCTCAGAAATACTAAGTATAGATTTGCTACTCAAACTATACTATGCCCAGGCCTTACAGTAACATTCAGTATAGAATTTACTTCTGGGGTTCATCTTCAGCAGTGAAAGATATTTTCAATGTCCAAAAAAAACTGTCCGAACTTAATATCAACAAAGGCCCCGGTCCTGATGGAATTCCTCCAACTTTTCTTAAATTATTTAGCTTTATTTTAGCTCGACCACTTTTCTATATATTTAATAATTCCCTATCATCTGGCAAATTCCCGGACTATTGGAAAACCTCATATGTCACCCCAATATATAAATCAAGTCGAAAATCCAATGTGTGTAATTATCATCCAATTTCTATTCTTAGCGCAATCCGTGAAGTTTTTGGGAGCATCATTTTTTATTATCTTACTTATGACTGCTCCCCAATTATAGGGACCAAACAATTCGGATTTACATCCAAAAAGTCAGCTGAACTGGGTCTAATTACCTACGTTGATTTTCTGTCTGACGCTCTGTCTAAGGGTTTGCAAGTTGACTCTGGGTACACTGATTTCTCCAAAGCTTTTGACAAAGTTATTCATGAGCTATTGATCCATAAACTTTGTTTATATGGTGTTGATGGGCATATATTGCAGTGGCTCAAGAGCTATCTTACAGAAAGAACACAAATTGTTAGAGTTAATCATTATTATTCTCATACCATCGCAGTTACATCGGTTGTTCCACAAGGTTCACATTTGGGACCACTGTTGTTTAACCTTTTTATCAACGATTTAATCAGCTGTTTCCATGAAAGCGAAGCTTTGCTATTTGCCGACGATTTGAAATGTTTCAAAATAATTGAAAGTGAAGCTGATACATTGGGTCTACAAAACGATATAGATTGCCTATCCAACTGGTGTTCGCAAAATGGTATGTGTTTGAATGCAACCAAATGCCAAATTCTTCGCTTTCATCGAACACATCACCCAAAGTTGTTTTCTTATAGGCGTCACTCCATTCAACCTACTGTGTAGGTATAAATTCGAGACTGGCTTGAATATTTAAAGTTCATTTCTTAAAAAAGGTTATTAAGAAATATGACTTCGGTATTTATTATAAAAATATGTCTATATATATGTGAGTTTTTACTTGCAACTCATTTCGTGTGGTATTTCAGACTCGTTTCGTGGAAAACTTCTCCAGAATCGCTGGCATCCCTCACAAATTCGACCACGGCGAAGAACGGCAGGTCATCGCCTTCAGCAAATCCCCTGAAATCCAGAAAGAAGCCTCGGACGCCGGCGCTCAACTCTCCGGAGGTGTCGAACTCATCAAGCAGATCCAGAACGGTCAAGTTGCGATGCAGGACGTCAAGTATGTCGTAGCCCATCCGGAAATCCTGCCGGAATTGGTGGTGCTGCGTGGTTTGCTGAAACGCAGATTTCCCAACCCGAAAGCAGGGACGTTGGACGGGGACGTAGTGGGAATGGTGCATAGGTTCATTCACGGTATCAGTTATACGGCTGTCAAGGACGAGTATGAGAAGGATTTCGGTCTGATTGAAGCTGTTCTTGGACCGGTTAGTACTTGAAACTTTACAGCTTGTTGTGGTTTGTTTTGTTACTCATTTACCGGATCATGGATTTTCAAATCAGTTCCATTATACATTTATCTGTAGTATAGAATTCATTCAGCGATAACTTTACTGTTATTATAATTGAGACTTGGATAATTATTAATATGTTCATTCAGTAACATCAACTAATGATGTTACAAGCTTCATAACTTATTTTTCTTTTAGCTTTCATCGACCTTCTTGATCTCTTGCGGGTAATATATCATCTCTGTCAGTATCATGGGACCATACTTCGTCACAGAACATAATACACAGAATTCATACTTAAGAAATGATACTAGGTGGCAGCACCAGTCACATAACAAACATAAGATATAAATGTACTCATATTCTTAACATATTCTTTGAAAGATATTTTTTGGGAGGACTCAGGTCTTCTCACTGTGTTTCTGGGTATGTAACCTTCCACAATCTGAAGAATGATTCAATAGAGAATCAGCAGAAGTGTAATGAAGGGCAAACTGGGAAGTTCACCTCAAAAAGTACTGCGTAATATGAACCATTGAAGGGTCTAATTAGTCAGTAACTTGTTGTATACATACATTTTGCCAACAAAATCAACGAATCAATTGAAAGAAATAAAGTTCTATACTCAGCTTTCTGAAAACAATTTTTTTCTCTGACATACCTCAAACATTAATGGAAAGAGTCAAAGTTATTTACAATTTGAGGCAAAAGTTTGGAGTAAATTTTCGGTTTTGGTAACGAAATCGGTCAATTTCATTTAATTTTTGCAATATAAATGTATGTAGTCATCACAATGTTTTCCAGCTATCTATGGACGCCAAGCATTTGGAGGAGAATTTTGCAGCCCTGGTTAGAGACGTTAATACCATGAAACCAAAAAGAAAGGGACACTTCATTTCAAGGTAATGTTGATATGATGAACTCGGATTGATTTTGAGGTTTGTTCCCCGGCAATTTCATGATCTATATCACTTCGACTTAAATCTCCAAATTTCGACTTCAATTTTGGAATCACGACTCTAAATTTTGACTTAATATATTGAAATTTCGACTCCAATCTTGAAATTACGGGTTTAATCGCAAAATTTTGACTTAATATTGAAATTTCGACTCAAATCTTGAAATTACGACTCGAAATTTTGACTTTAATCTCGAAATTTAGACTTTAATCTCGAAATAACGAATTTAATATCAAAATTTCAACTCTGATCTCGAAATTACGACTCAAAATTTTGGCTTGACTTTAATCTCGAAATTTCGGTATCAATATCGAAATTTCATTTCAAATCTTCAAATTAAGACTCGGAAATTTTGACTTTAATCTCGAAATAACGACTTTATTTTCGAAATTCTGACTCTAATCTTGAAAATACTACTTTAATCTTGGAATTATAACTTAAATCTTGAAATTACGACCTAAAACTCGAAATTACGACTTAAAACTCGAAATTTCGACTTTAATTTCGGAATTCCGACTTCACAATTGAAATTACTACTTTGAAACTCCAAAATTCGACAAATCTCCTAGTTTCGACTCTAATTTCGTAATTTCAAAATTGCGACTTCAAAACTCGAAATTATCACTTTGAAACTCTAAATTTTGACTTACATCTCGAAATTTTGAGTCGAAATTACGACTTTAAACTCGAAACTTTGACTTAAATCTTGAAATTACAACATTAATCTTAGAATTACGACTTAAATCTCTAAATTTCGACCTTAATTCCAAAATAACGACATCAATCTTGAAATTTTAAGTTAAATCTTGAAATTATGACTTCGATCTTGGAATTACGACTTTAATATTGAAATTTTTACTCTAAACTCGAAATTTCAACTTTAATCTCCTAGTTTCGACTTTAATTTCGTAATTTCGAAATTACGACTTGAAAACTTGAAATTATGACTTTGAAACGCGAAATTTTGACCTTGATCTCGAAATTTCGAGTCGAAATTACGACTTTAAACTCGAAACTTCTACTTGAATCTTGAAATTACAGCATTAATCTTGAAATTACGACTTTTATCTCGAAATTTTGACTTCATTTTCGAAATTTCGATTGCAATCTTGAAATTTAAATCTTAATCTCGAACAGAGCATTCTTCTGCTTCAATATATCTCAAGAGATTTTTATAGAAATTATAAAATGCGGTTGATGTCGACTATCGCCAACTGAAATCAATGACATCATTTGAGATACACCCTGTATTTCCCATTTATTGAAAAACTGGTCGTTAAGCATGATATGGTATTTTTCAGATGTATTTTGTGGAGTCCCCCCTCTCAAGAGTTATTGAAAGTCGATCATAATATGTATTTGGAAGATTCAAAAGAAAAAACTGATGATATAGAAGAGGATGAAGAAGTAGTTGTCGAACAAGTTGTTCTGTAATCTTTTTTGTTGTAAGAAATACAGTTAAAGAAAAACTTTTATTTCAGTTTGTTTCTTCGGTAGATTGAGTTGGTGGGTGGTTTTTTGAGAAAGTTTTGGATGTTCGAGAGAAACACCAAAGTTATTAATAGGTTTTATTTTATTATATTTAATATTTATTTCTTATGCACCTTTCGTACAATAATGCTTTCGAAAATTCCAATTCACAACTCCAGGATTCATTTAATGGAATGCTCGACGATATCAGTAATCAAGCACTGTTCAAATTATCGAAAGTAGACGCAAAAAATGAAAAACGAACATGGATAATTCTCTGACTTGGTCGCACTTGATATAAATTACAATTTGATTCGCTGGCTAATCTACAAAACCATAATTACAATTTTATAAATAATAATATACAACATTTACAATACAAATAACCAGTTGAATGACTAGCATGGTTTCACTGCATAAAAATGTAAAAATAAATAACAAACGTAGGTACTAATGAACATCTATTTTGGTGAAGCTTCATTCTTGAAGCAGCTTTTTCTGTTGCGCTTCATATCGAAAGTTTCGCTGGACTAGGAAAAGTGGAGTGATGTCGGAAGTAAAACATTTCGTGCAATAGTTTCAAGTGTTTGAAGATGTTGAACTGCTCATTTTGAGATTCTGCCTAATCAAATTTCTCGACAAAAAAAACAAGGAAGCGGGAAAGTTTTGATATTCAGATCAATTTTAGTGTTAGTAGCCAAAATGACTCATTACTCACACCTTTGAATCAATCACAGTTGATCAGATTCAAAACTCATTACCATGAGGCCAGTCTCAGATGAGAAAATTTATAACTTCACATTTGTACTAGCAAAATAAATATTTAGAAATTAAATCTCTAAATATTTATCTCTCCCAACTGCCTAAACCGTTGGTCCTGGTATGTCTGCCGGAAAACAACTACTTCCCTGGCTAATACCACGCCGGAGATTGAATTATATCCGACAGACATTAATGCACAGATACTCAAATACTTTAAGCATGGTCTCGCTGCTGGATGTACGAGAAAAATATGCGAAACTTGCATAAATATCTGTAGGATATAATGGGGAATGTTCCTCCTGACGAAAATCAAGTAGTTTTCATGAAAGAACTCTAAAACAACGCATTTTAAACTTATCATTTCAACCCTTTTCTTTAAAAAATTATTTAAATACTTGAAAAAGAGGAATGAAATAATGCATTCAACATTTAAAGGGATTCGTTTTCATTTCACCATTTGGCAACATCGGTTATAGCTAATAAAGGACAATGAATCTGTTACCTGTATGAGACAAACAAAGATGACATATTTCAGAGGCGTGCTGTTCTGTTCACTTATGTTCCGAGTTCCGACACATTCTGTGACCTGTTAGGTTGTGTACCTAACCTATCTTCCTCTATATAAATAAATAACAACAACATAAACAACAACTGTTGTTTATGTGGCTTGTGGAGGTGGTATTGAACTATAATTTCTATTTTGCCTTAATTGTTGATTTATAATTTTCCTTTTTCAAAGTAGAATACCTAGGTACGTATAAGTTATTTCAACTCGATATCTTAAATGCAAGGTAAATTATTTTTATCCAGCGTGGTATTAGCCGCAGACGGTGTAGACAGTTGGGAGAAATGAATATTATAGGTTGTTCACGTTAAGAAGAGAATGACGTCACAAGATGACAAGTTACGGCGTTGCCAACATGTGCACTATTTCGAACTCTCAAATTTTTTAATGCTGATGATATGTTTTATTGCTATTATCCTTATTTACTTTTAGTATTTGTTGGGATTATTTCGAAAATGCTTCAGGCATATTGAATTTACGCAAAAGAAATGATTAGTTCTGAAAAAAAAAGAAAGACTGACAGTTTTCGAGTTTTTTTCGACTCGGCAACGTCTGAAATTTGCGCAACTTACAAAATGAAATGTTACTAGTTTCATTGCTGTTGAACGCATTTCAGTTGGAATTTTAACGTTGTTATGTTGGATATACAAAATTACCAAAAATGACGTCATTCTCTTCTTAACGTGAACAACCTATTTATGGGAAATTAATCACTTCAAAATTGTTCTCGAACGTCAAAAAGCTAATCATTGAATTGATAGTTCTTGTTTTGAAAATATAGTGTTCATGGATTTGGAAGGTGGAAAAGAGTGTACTGCAGGTCTGTTACCAAATAAATTAAGAGAAAAATATGAATCTTCATATACGATTTTCAAGAATTGGCGAAAGAATGAACGTTTCTCTAGCACATTTTTCCAAGTTAGCTGAAAATTAGATCGTCCTCGATTTGGAAACAAATTTGATGCTGAGAAGTACAGTTCCCATCAGCCATGACGTTAATATAGAACTTTATTCAGAATTATGTGCACTTTTGAAAAGCAAATTCGATGGTTGTATACCAAAAAAGGTGAAAACTCTCACCACAGATGAAATAATGTCATCGGTCTGAACTTTTGAAAAGTTAAACATGAAAGTCACTTTGAAGATCGCTCGTACATTTCAACAAGTATCAGGCAATCCAAAAGATAGGGAGACCAAGAAGGAAAAGTCTGGGATTGCGACCTGAATAACGTTGGTCAAACTGAGCGGGCTATAAAAACTCGTCACAAGGAACATGTTTCTCATAGACCCGAGAAGTCTGCTGTCGCTCAACTTGCCTTACTGAATGGCCATATAATAAGTGAGAGATGCTTGACATTGTTGAGACCGACCACAAATGACAAAAGTCTTTTATACGCCTTTGAAAGTTTAGAAATCAAAAAATGTAAAATGGGATCTATAAACAGCGACAAGAGTCTCCTTCCAAATAGCCCGTTGTTTACTCTCTTATGTAATAATTACAGAAGAAAACGGGTAAACAATAGGTATCATGGCAGGTAGTCATTTATAGGATATGAATTATGATTCATGACACAATGAAAGATAACACATTTATCTAGCAATGCTAGTAAGCCAAAATAAGTTGGAAATCAGTTTTTCCGTCAACCAGCTGTCGCCCCCCTATGAACGACACCTCTCGGAAGTCAAAACTTATGCGAGCTTAGGATTAACGAGGTCTCACCTTTTCAGCGTGCGATTCCTAGCCAAAGTAAGTGAGTTCACTCATACATTTTGAAAAAATTCATAGAGACTGTATATAATAAAACTTCCCAACCAAAGCTGCTTCAAGAACTTAGCTTAAGCATTTGAAATAGCTCAACGGAAAAATATCAAAAATAAAATATAAACTTTATATATCTATAGTAAATGTACATACACTATGTAATGATTTCAAGTTCGAAGACAATGACAACAAAAACACAATGCAGGAAGATATGTTTTTGAATTAGTGGTGGAAATCACGACTGAGGGTGCGAGATATACAAGGTTCGAACAAAAAACAGCGAACAAACTTCTTCAGATTATTTTGCACTTTGCTGCAAATATTGAATTTTGTTTCGGGGAGAGGAGCATACAAAAAACAAGTAATTGCATAAACTTCACCTCACGATTTCAACTCCACAAACTTTATTTGAAAAATATATCACTATGGATCTTCAGCAAGTAACGGTCGAATCAATTAGAAAAAAATAATATAATACTGTGAACTAAGTTACTGCTACATCCACGCGAAAGAAAGATTTTGTTACTAACGATCCAGAATTAAGTGTTTCAAGTGAGAGGATGACATCTCCCCTTACGAAGACGCCATCTATTTGATCGACAGACAACTCAATCCTCGAATATCAAAGTTAACCGAGGTTTCCCAATGCGATCAGTTGCAAAGCAAAGCTTCGATATTGACCACCTACGAGATTCGTCTTCTGTCATGCATTGCAAGTCAACACCAGACCAGACAGCTGTGGTTTTAGTTAGTTGCCTTGCAGTGAAAGCTGCAGTAAAAAACAGGTTATTGTCGCTCGAGTAGGAGTGGTCCCAGTTGAGACCAACCCCATTCCTCCACTTTTTGTCATCAGCCCGTCGACAAATCAGAAGCTACCGCATGCAGCAGCGGGAAATTTAAGATTTTTCCACTTCAACGAGGCAGACCACCTAGCCAAGCGCACCAGTCACGTGGTCCCCGGTGGTTGAAAATTGTATGGGAGAATTAAAATAAAAAAAGACCGGCAAGAGAACTGAACACAGGTCAGTAATTGTGAACTAATGATAGTGATAACACCACCACTGAAGACGAGTGGAAGCAGCGATCATAACTGCTTTGTTTTTGGGCTCTCGTTTCGTTGTATAAGACAGTTTATTTAAAGAGCTTGTTCTTTGTGTAAACAAACTAATAAAAATATCAAATTGAATACACTGAGTATAGTATTTTACGGTACCAAGTGTGTCAAATAGTTTAGGGGTAAAACTCGCAGGTTTCTGTTTTGACAACATATGAGAATAAGATATCATTGCTGCCTTTTTGTATTTGGACAGATAGAAATTGTAATTCAACTGAATCACTCCCATGTATCAATTTTTTATGTTTTGTACAAAATAAACTGGATATTTTACTCTGAATGAGACAAGCAGGCAAATTTTGTTGATCTATTCTCATTTCATCCTGAATCAAACTTTGCTTTGATTTCGATAACTTCAACATTTGTAATTTAAAATTATTTCCAAGCAGTGATCCCCTTCATCGCAACCTCAGTCGTGACATCTACCAAACCTCGTGAAATTTTAATCAATGTGCAATTTATTAAAAGTATGTATAGCTATATACAAAGAACCGGCTGCGGCCAGCAAAACACGTTCATCATAGCACCATGACCACCCTAGAATTGTGATGGTTGTGGTGGTTCTGGTGATGCTGATGCGGACTGTCACTGTCACTGTTCTGCACCACGTTTTCCACCTTACTGTCCTCCCCGTTCCACTTGCACATCTCGGGATTGCTGATCTCTGCGAGGCTTTTCAAGGCTTCACAGCCCTCCGAAACCGGCACGTACTGGTGCTGGATCTCAGGTGATCTTGTGGTCTGCGTTGGAGATGAGTGCAAGTGGTTTGACCCCCACATCAGGACGGTTTGCCGAGGCATCTCCGACGTGCTAACCGGGGAAAAATGCTGCGGCGTGACCGAGTTCTGGGGAATATGATGGGTGGGGCTCTCCGACTGGTGGATCTCCTTGATCTCCTCCATCTTGGGGGTGATCAGCCCTGGGGAAGAGGAGCCGTGCTTGATTTTCCCGCATTCCTTGTGACCGATGTCCAGTTGCGCGCTCATGACCTGGATGGGCTGGATGATGCCCGAGGAAGGACTCACGGAGTACGGCCAGGTAACGTCCAGGCATTTGGTGGAGTTGGGCACGACGTAGCTGCGGGAGGTGTCCACGTAGGTGGGCTGCCCCACCTGCTGACAGGAGTAGATCTTCTCGTCCACCGGCATCACGGCGGCTCTGTATGTGGCGTGGTGGCCTGCTGTTGTTGCTGAAGGATCGTAAGTGGGAACCGCGGACCTATAATAATAAGAATAATAGATATACTTTATTGCCTGAAGGTGATCTTGAGGATGAAGACTAGTGGCAGAATACAGGTGAGATAAAAATAATTTCGAAAGGTGAAAATTTGCACATACACCCAAAAATATTATACAGAGAAAACCATTGAAAAAACTTTCTGAAGAAATTGAAAAAACAACACATCAGGTTTGTTTATAAGTATAACCAGTCAAGAGTTATGACTCAATATGCGACTCAACCCCATTTTTGGGGTTGCGGGTCTTCGAAATACAACAATACGTTTTGCAAATAAGTGCACAAGTAAAAAAGATTTTGAATAAAAACTACCATATCAATCCAAATATTAAAAATGAATCTCTTCAGAATAATTTCGTTAGGAAATATATGAACATAGGCTTTCACGTTCAGAGTCAGGATTGAAGAGGTCGTGGTACTTGACGTACCAAACGATTCGTCTGCTACTGCGGCAGACTTCATCAGTGTTATGTGCGAGAACGAAGGTTATATCTTGGAGTTTAAGCAACGACTGACTGGCCAGCTACGTATTCACTCATTTATAATTTCAAAATATGGTAGGGGTGATGAAAGGTATATTGATGGAGGCGATAGCAAGGTATCCATGCAGAGGCTCTCTCCTGAATGGTAGTCAATAAATTGACTATTGTAAACAAACTAAATGATGGATGGCTCTCAAACTCCGCGTGAGTAAAGAGGACAGCGGTGCCAACCCAGCTATAAACATAATTTCGACAGTCCTTTCACGCGGGCCTTTTGTGAAAAATACCTGAAAAATACCTGAAACAGATAGATTTTTATTCTCAAATTGACAATTTACAGTATGAAAATATTATCCCCTTTCATCACCCCTTCTGAATTATAAGCACCCCTTCGAAAATTTTAAATAGCAAAGGGGGTCGTGTGGCACCTTGTTGGAAAGGNCCGCTATGATTGCACCAAACTTAAAAAACTTCATATTGCTGAACAGAAGACTAAAATCCCTTTCCAACAAGCGCCACACGACCCCCTTTGCTATTTAAAATTTTCGAGGAGGTGCTTATAATTCAGAAGGGGTGCTGGAGGGGGATAATATTTTCATATTGTAAATTGTCAATTTAAGAATGAAAATCGACCTGTTTCAGGTTTTTTCCACATAGTACATAATAACGCTGAAAATGAATTTATTCCATACATATATGTATGGTCCATATATGGACCGCACTGTATACACCTTTATGCATACACGTAATTCATGGATTGAGATACTGTACCTGGAGGACATCTCCAGAAAGCCGTTCCCCACGTACGGGCTAGTGGTGGGCGAATGGTGGTAGTCTGGATAGTACGTCCCCAGAGGTCTGTACTGGTGGAACAGGTTCTCCGTGGTGGTGAGGTAGCGGTTATCCAGGGCCGAGGGTGCAGGGTACAGGCTGTGTTGGAAGTTCGAGTGGCTCATGTATGACAAGCTGTGGTCGGCTGTCGCCGTCGGATACGGCGTCGAGTACATGTTGTACGCAGCGTCGGAGGTGATGTAGTCCACCGTCGGCATGGGACTGACGACGGCTGCCGTCGTGACGGAGTTGGCCGGAGGCGTCACTTGACCGCTGGAGGAGAGCTTGCGTTTCGTCCTGCAGGTCGAGAGGAAATCCCGCAGCTGCGTTTTGTACCTCCGGTTCACTCTGGTCGGCGTGGTGGGTATCGAGTGCTGACCGATGCCGGAAGAGTTGGTGACCAGCTGGTCGGTTTCGGAGAAGTAGTTGTTCGGAAGACCGGCGTCCAGGTAACTCACTTTGAAGTCCATTGTGCGCTTGCCAAGGAGGTCGCGACCTTCCTCTTCCCTGAAACAGAGGTGATTGTCGTCAGTATCCGATGAGAAAGCCAGTTGAATAAAAACAAATTTGTGAGGAGTTTTGAAGAACATTTAATTTCTTGCACTGTGTACGAAGTAGATCAGAGAGTTCATATCAAACAATTAGCCAAAGTATTGAAAAAGTACTTATATATTATTCAATAATGAACCGTTTGGCTTTAGTGAAAGTTCATGAACTGGAATAGCTATTGTTGAATATTTGAATAATATGCATGATAGCTTAGATACACTTGAAGCAACGAGAATCATTACACATACGTCATTAATACCTGACGCGATGAAACTCAGACTTTCATGTAGCATCATTTTCTTCTACAAGTGAAAAATGAAAACACAACGAATTTATCAGCGAGATCTCTTGTTTGGATGGTAGTCTGCAATTGGCATATCGAAAAAAGATAGATGGCTATACAGGGTGTAACATAAGTACGTTAAAATATTCAAGTGACGTATTCCTGAGACAATTTTAAGAAAAAAAGTTTATATGAACTCCGTATCTCCGAAACAAAGCATTTTCGGAGATACGTTGTGTTGAAATTGAATTTTTTTGTTCGCTTTTTGAAAATAACTCTTGCAAAAAATAAATTATTTGCACGAAGTTCGGTACTCGGGGTTTTTTCGACGTGGGATATCATAATTTCGTAATAATTTTCATGTAACATATAGAGGACGCTGCATACGCTGTCATTACTTATTTCAAATTGCCNGTTTGACAATTTGATGTTATTTTATTGTGAATACGTTTTAGAGCCTTTCATACTATACAAATAGTTTTCAGAAGAAAAAAGAACTATTATTTCATAATAATTAAATTTTATAACGTTTATAATATTCAAATTGCTAGATATCTGAGTTGGAGCATGAAATATATTTTATATTTTACGGAATAATTGAAGTCAAGTCAAACAAATATACAGTTGATGTTTTGGTAGTGTGAGGTTCTAATCTGGGGCCACTGATATTTTTACTTTTTTCACTGAATATCAATAGATAGTGATGACACAACCTTTGGTATATCTGATCCATCAACGAATGGTATGATTCTGTAAGTCGAACTTAAAATGACAAAATATTGTCATTTCAATAAAGTGCTACAAACATACATTTTTGAAGTAGGAAAAAAACCATCTTCTCTATCAAATTCTGTGGAAAAGTTCACAGCAGAGCTCTATTGTAAGAAAATCGACATCAGCAGCAGCTCGAAACTTTTCTTAACTTTGCTAATGATAATTATAAGTCAGTTTCAAATTTAATGATGAAATTATTAATAATGATAATGGTTGTATTGATGTTGTTGGGCGACTAAGTAGTCTAAAAGGCATCAGCAAAAGCTAGATATATATGATCGGTAACAGCATTTGAATATTAACAGTACTTACATTAAAGGTCTATGTGTGCTGATGACAAAATCTGGCTTGGAGTTTTTGTAAACCAATCTCGAACTTGTTTGCAGCCATTGCCACTGCCCGTCTTTGGTTTGAAACCGGTAGGCGATCATACCGGAGGCTCCTGTTTTCAAAACTGTAAAAAAACATGCCGTGAAATGGATCTTTGCCTACACCAGAACAAAAATACTGTCTCCCAATGCGCGTTTCACTAACCAAATTTGCATCATCAGAAGATGACTAAGACCTTAATGTTTTTGTTCTGATGTTTCAATTAGATGTAACTGGCTAGCAAAAAACAGTATTTTGGCGTTGGTTTGAAGAAATAATTTCATGCTTAACTTGCGATTATTAGAGTTGAATGACAAAATCAACGATCTGACAACTCAGACTATAGTGTCAATATTTTTCGGGTTTCAAACCCAAAAAATAATGACACTGATAACCTCCGGCCGCGAGAGCCTAAAGCATTTGGTCAGACTAGGTTGTTACATGAAAACTCACGTTCTTGATGAGCACTGGCAACATAAGCTAGGTCATCATAGTGCACCAAATCATATCCTCCCAAACTAGCCAGCTCCGAATCTGAATAACCTAGCAACATCTTTCCCCTGCAACAAAATCAACTATAGTCACACTCCTTCGTCGTGCATAAAACAGTTACCTCTGATCCATAGAAACTAACGATAAATCTAATTTGTGTTTGCTCTTGAACATGACTTCCTTCTGGGGGATTTCCAGAAGCGAGGGGGGCCCAAACGGGGTGCAGATCGCGAACAGACCAAGGGGCGGCTCCTCGGACTTACGGTTCTGACCGTGGAGGACCTTGACCCTGCCTCTGATGTCCAAACGCTGAAAAAATCAAATCTTATCGTGAAAAATATCAGAGCGGTGGTTTTGATCTTTTTTTTTTGTTGAAATGTTGCTTACCAAGAAACCGGAAGTATTGTCTAGAAGACATCGGAAGCGCACGGTGAAACTTCTTTCTAACAAATGGCAATTTTCTGGCAAGAGAACATCTTGAAGACCCATGTTGGCTGACTCTGGAGGAAGAAACGAATTCCACATCAGTTGTCGCTGCAATTCTTCCCTGTCCTCTGAGTGGACCAATTCGTATACTGATTGGTGGACAATGTCCGACTGAAATTATGGAAAAAATTATTTATGGCAGATTTTATTCTGGTATACAAGCAGAAGCAGCCAATAGAATGATTGAATCTCTTGATGAAACATTTCTGTCTCTATACAGTGCATTTCTGTAATGCCTTCCCTCTTTTTATTTTTGGAAAGGGTCAACTCAAAAAATTGAAATTTGGGATGATGAAATTAGTACATGAATACTTCATTTTGAAGTGAAATTGACAGATGAAAGTTTCAAGATGGCGACTGGGCGTCATCTGGGAAAAAAATTAAATGGAAAGGGGGGTCTTGTGACTCATCTTTTTGAAGCACCTCACAAGAACAAATCAATTGAATCAGCTTCATACCATTTATTAAATTTCATTTATACACAGGTTGACTCGAATAAACTAGTTGTAAATAAAGGNGTAGTATCCAAGTAGTTTCTTACTTGTCTAAAGTAATGTACAATATCCATATCGATTTCATTAGGATTTGCTTCGACGTTTTAGTGATGAGAGAGACAGTAGAGTAGCCCAGTCACCATCTTGAAAGTTTTATCTATCAATTTCACTTCAAAATAAATTATTCATGCATTAATTTCATTATCCCAAATTTCAATTTTTGAGTTGACCAGTTCAAAAAATAAAAGGGGGGACACCGTGTAACTGGTAAAATTTCCATGATTTTCTATCATATTTTCAAACAAAACTTTCATTATCGACTCTGGACTCTTTCACTATTTTTTTGTATTTCGTATTTTCTTACCTGATGAAATCCTAAATAACCTTCTATACTATGTGTTGCGAAGAAAACTTCTCCATCGCAGGTTAATATCATAAGGAACCCGTTAAGTGCCTGAAAAAAATCATTAACTCAATGCCTATCATAGTCAATTCGAAGATATGCAAAGAAATAAATATTCAACATTGACATGAATGAAATGAAATGACAATATTCCAAATTCGCACTTCTTTGTGAGAATGGAAATTTTGCCCTACGTATAGAGATCAAAGCGATCTTTAATAATAAGCTGATAAACCGTGTTTAGTTTTCGACACTGATGGGGGTGATCATAATTCTGTCAACAAGTTGAAACTCGTCATGTAAAAGCCCCAGATATCACAACATTTCCGCGGCAACAGAAGGATGAGCTAATGCAGGGGTCTCCAAACTACGGCCCGCGGGCAAAATCCGGCTCGCCAGTGTCATCAATCTGGTCTACGACAGCCAATGATTACCTAATTGTTATTACTATCGCTGTGATATCGCAGTGCAGTGATCGGAATACACTAGCTAGAATCAGAACTTTCTCGAACCAACGCGGTAATTCCAAATATTTAATTGCGCCTAATGCCACCTAGCGGGTAGCTGATAAAGATAGTACATAGTACCACTACTAGCCACTAGATGTCGTTAAGTGTCACAATACACAATAATAATTGAAATGCAAAAAAAGCGTAAGTTTGTTTAGGTCACGCATTTTGCGACTATCCTAGTCTAGAAATATAGTTAAGGGCAGAAATTGGCCCTTGGAACAAACTGAAAAAATCATTATGGCCCGAAGGCTTCAAAGTTTGGAGACCCCTGAGCTAATGCATTGGTCTTCTTCAACAACATCATCAAAGCGCCTGACCTTTGCTTAACTCAGGTCGAGTGGACCGAAGTAGGAAACTGAGGAGTTCATCATGGCCATAAGTGCCAAATTTATTGGAACTATTCGTTTTCCGCCCTCAGGCTCATACAAGCTAATAAGCTTGATCAAGTTCTTCGCGACCATCAGAGCGAAACGATATTTTTCATGGAGTTTCAGCTCTTGACGAGACCAATATCAACTGAAAAGAGAAGGATAGTTCGAAATTTTATCTTCAAACTCCACATACTGTATCTAGACCACTAAGTCAAGATGGTTGTTTTGATTATTGGAGTCCTTGGTGGAATGATGCCCTTTCTACTCTCAAATTTTAAGATCATGTCGGCTTGCGTCACTAAGGACACCTAATTCTCGGACCCAATGATCACTTACCCCAGAGTGTGGAGAGTGGTCATCAGTTGATAATGCTGGCGTGCAGATTTTATTGTGGTCATATGATTAAATACATGAAAACAAACCAACATAGTGACATAAAGAGAGCATAAAAGAAGACAGAATTACTATTCCTTGCACATTCATGAAAGTTAGAGACATAAATACCGAACGGCAAAGGATCTACAATCGAACCCTGAGGTATCCCATACAAGAGGTGTAAATATTTCGATATATGGTCGACTATCACCATCCTTTTCAAGTATGTGATGATCTGAGGTGTCTAAAGTATAACTGAGATCTATTAGAACCAAGCATGTGAATTTTTCTCATCACAGGGCTTCGTTATATGATCTGAAATTCTCAAAAGAGCTGTGGTAGTGTTAAGTTTTTTGCGGAAGCCAGATTGCCCAACAGAAATGATCGCAGTTGAATCAAGCTGTTGTTGTAAATCGTCTCCAAAAAAAAATAACGCCGCACGCCGCTGGTCGTCGTGAATTGATTGTGACTTGTCCAGATCGTGCCCGACTCGACTTCGACTCGACGCTTCGTGATTGTTCTAGATATCACATCGCTTCGAGATACTTCCAGCGACTTCCTTATCGACTTCCAGAGACTTCGATTACCATATATACCGGGTGTCCCACATTTTATGTGACAGGCAATATCTGGTTTGTTGAAGGAGATACACAAAAATGTTTCATACAAAAGTTTTAGGAGTTCATGAGAGCTATATTTTGATATAATTTTTAAATATACAGGGTGTTTGGTGTAGGTGCTACAGACCAAAATTCCATTTTTTAAAATAGAACGCCCTGTATATCATTAC